CATTTTCTGCGAATTAATTTCATGGTTAAGCTGTCGCACCTACTTCTTCTTCTCAGCCATGTCACTTTATCTGCTATCTGCCGTCTTTTTAATTACTGCTCATAATGCTACCACAGTTGCTGGCTGGCTACATGCAGCTCCAAATACATACTTGACGCACCTTTATTTGGGCAAGTCGCTGTTGCGGCTTCACATTCTTCGTGCGTTTCATATCTGTTTGCGTTTCCTTCACAGCCACCATAGATGAATGGCTTGCAGGCGCCCACGGCAGCATCGAAGCCGAATCGTCGATGCGCTGCTCGGCATCTTCCTTTTACTAGAACCGCATTGCACTTATCAAAGGGAGCTGAAATGTAGAAACCGAAGGTGAGACAGTGGGGTAATGAAGAGCAACCTAAGGGTTGAACAGCCATTCTCACAGGCCAACATTATTCCTCTGACGCTTATAAGCTCGAGATGACTTTACTAATGAGAAGTATGTGACGATACTGAAGGCTTATGCCTGTGCCAGCTGGAGGTATGCAGATCATTCTTAACCCGTGCATTGGTAGACAAAGCAAGAGCAAATGCTAGCTGTGGTGAGCCCTACACTAAACACAATCCGTATTTGCAATTTTCGCCTTGCCTAGGGCTGGTAAAGGGCTACTTGCTAAGTGGCCCAATTATACTCAATGAAAAGCAAGCCATTTTGCAAGTAATGGGATTTGTAATTCAGCTGCCACACAAGACGACAGATTTGAGTGGACATTTGACGTGGCTCGTTGCCATTTCGCACAAACTACATTAAATCAAGGCAATATGAGTAATTACTGCCTGTGACATACATTATCTATGGCTGCTAGGTAGAAAATAGACAGCGAGATTAACACAGTGTACCGGGAAATAAGGCTGTGTGCTTTTGCAATGAGAAAACGGGGCCTGGAATTAACGAAATATACGGAAAGCTGCTCCGGTATATATAGAAAAGTTAGTTCTGCCTCCCTTATTATTTCCCATTTTTATATAAAGTGTATCTTCAAGAGAGATTAATCGCACAAATAATCGACGCCGAAATATTAAATTAAAGAGCCTTTTTTAAGAGGTAGCTTCCTACAGGAAATATTATTATGAATCGTATGTGTATTTGTTTGCGATATTTGTTGTGCACGCTCATTTTTCTCGCCAATGATTTGACATGTTTATGTGATTCTAAAACCGTGACCCGAACAGACAGCTGCATAAGAAGTAATGTTTAAAAACTGAATTTTTTTAGTCACGGACGGGTATGTCCGCACCTGAGTTGACGTGAACACTTACATCAGTGGCTACCCAATGGGCGGAAGCAAGTAGGAATCGGGTTGGCTTATTGCAGCGTATATCAAAGGATGCAGAAGCAAAGAACGACTGGAAGTTTTTGGAAAATTATCTTTTATAACAAACTAGAATTTTGAGCTGTTCAATAACAACCCTATTTTCACTGCGCGTAATACATCAAAAAATGTGCACGCAAATTGCACAAAAGGATTATATTTAAACGTAATTCTACCAGTGCTGATTTATTCAGCCGGACTTTTGCACGACGCCAATGTGGGACTGTTGATTTGTTAGTGAACGTTAATCAGCCCGTTCGAACGCCACAATTTTGCATTCCACACAGAAATGGGACTTAAGGCAATATAATTCAGCTGCTGTTTGTTGTACCTCTGGTGGGACAGGTGGCTGTTGTCTATTTACAACCTGCTTGCTAAAGATGCTGTAGCGCATCACGAAGTTCACAACGAAGACTTTGAAATTGTCTGTATCCATGTACTTCTTAAGACTGTTAAGCGAAAATGTAACATGTTCCAAAAGTTATATGAACAGTAATTGAGGTCTTTCTCACCGCGTCAATAAGTCGGCCATATCCTCAAGCAAACGCCCTTATGTCATTTTTACGAGCGATAGGGTTCCACGTGTACGCGGTAAATGAAATTTTTTTCAAAGGGAATAATGGACAGTCTTATAGACGTAAGTAGCTGATAACTAAAACAAATAAAACCTACATCAATAGCCAATTTTTGGCGTGGACTTAAGCTATACTCAAATACTAATCATAAAACCATAACGCTGTTATCTTTACAGAAGCAAAAATAAATTAATTAACTGCGATCAGTATTTTGTGAGATTGTTCATTCAATGCATGATGAAGTTTTTTTCGGAACTTACCTTCCTCCTGCCCATGACCGCAGCTACTGCTATGAAAAGTGCGATAACCAACATACTTTTTACTGCTCTCCCTCTTTGCACTTCTTCATTTATAACCCTTTTCAGCCTATGCAAATCCAAAAGCGTGGTAATTTCTCGCGTCAAAGTGACGCTGTACTGCGTACCCCATGGCACCATGACGAAAAACATTTTACAGTGTGCACACATATTACAATAGACACTCGTGTGTTAGGGATTGTTTTGAAACTCCAGAGTGTATACGCACACTGGCCTGACTGGAGCTTGCTGAATTATAGCTAGCGGTGGGGTTTTCAGTGCCTTGGAGTTGCGTTTGGGAAAAAACGCAGCATGGGGAGCGATGCCGCTTGGCTTTTTTAAGAGAATTAAAGCCTGTTGTTTGCGGAGTGGAACTAATAAATGAAATGGCAGGTGTAGTACAACTGCCGTATATTTACACACAGAAATAATTTCTTTCCCGTTGATGAGCTTACTGGCTCATTTTGGAGAAAAAATTGATTTCTTAACCTCCAAATGCTCATGAAATATTTTCATTAAGGCTTACAAAATAAGTCGGTTGAGATCAAATACCGTAAGCAGGCTGGTAGAATGTGTAAGCTCAACGAATAGTGTAGGAAGTCAAGATGGATAATGAGGGCTATCAGGAGCGGACAGTGTCGCACAGTTATTAGCACTACGCATTGTCCAAATGATAAAACCATCGAGGTGTTTAGACTAATAAGGCAAACCTTAAAGGGCTGCGCTCTTCTTGACCCGGCACCTTGGGACATGAGAGAAGTAGTGGGAAGGCCAGGTTGTTAAGAACAATATATTGTGTATAGATGCGTATGGTATGGCATGGCGTTCGACCGTGAAGGCTGTGTGAGAGCGTGGGTACATCAGAGCGACCAGAAACGCTGCATGCGTCCGCTCCGCCTGCGGGAGAATCACAATTGATGTGTAGGGTCAGCCAGCACCTGCGGGGTGATTGGTTTGACCGCGCGAGGTGGCCACACCAGCGTGGTGCGTAAGTGCGTCTGTCCCGAGGCAATTTGAGAACTTCCTTCGGGCGAGGTC